TTCCGGACCCGATACAGGGACCCCGCCATCACTTCCGCGCCGACTGTCTTTCGTGGTTCCGAGCGAAATGGGGCGAGTCGAGGGGGGTGTGGGCGCATCGACGATCGACGAATAGGCGGCGGATACGAGTTTTTATTCGGTCAATATAAGGAAGGGTACCCTTGCGAAGATTACGAAACTGCCCTAACGGCAATATGGGATGGATATCGTGCGCGGCCCCGCTGCCATCCCCGGGATACGCTGTCGCTACGGACACACGGGGGCTGGTTTAATAAAAATGTCAAATATAAAGTGGCCGGCCGGGGGACGGACGTTTTAGGAAATAAATAAATGTAAAAGAAAGAGGGAGAGAGGGAGGGAGAAAGGAAGGAAGGAAGGAAGGAAGGAAGGAAGGAAGGAAGAAGTGTAGCGTTTCGACGTAACGCGGGGAGAGGGAGACGAATTCGTCCGTTGTGTAATAATAAGCGAGAGAATAGGCAGGCTGTCGTATAATATCTCGATGCGGGTGGAAATTGGCCTGTCGGATGGTTTAGAATATGCGTTGCGAATGAAATTAGTTTAAAAACTATAATAAAATTCAACGATCCCATTTGTGCGCCACCTGATCGCGTATTATTCCTCTCTCGTTTTTCGTTACAGGTTACCTCGATATCGATACGTGACTTAAAATAACCCCGTTCTTATCCAGATTCCCCCTTTCTCCCCCTACCTCTAAAATGGCCAACGGTATAATATCAGGGGTTGGATCTATAGGGCAGAATTAAATTATGCGTTACGAATGAAATTACTTTGGAAAACGAAAACGAGAATTCAACGACCCCGTTTGAGTCACTCGATCTCCTCGTATATACCACCACCACCGCCACTCCCGTTTCGTATTACGGATCCGCTGCAATATTGATACGCAATTAAGAATATCCTCTGCGTACTTGTCCGGATTCCCGTGCTCACCGGGGAACCCTGTTTAATTGCATCTAGCGTCGAAGCAATTAGACAAGTAATCTCACACGTATCTCTTATCCGCCCGTGAAACTCGATATTTCGTGGCTGCGCGAAACGAGTCGATCAAATATGAAAATAACTCGGTCGCGATTTAACCGAGGTCGAACTTGGACGAGAGAGAGAGAGAGAGAGAGAGAGAAAGGAGAAAGAGAGAGAAGCGGAAAGAAACGAGGGGACGGAAGAGGAGGGGGGGGGGGGGGGAATAAGGAGGAAAAAAAATTGGGCGTATAAGAGGGAGGGAAAAAAATCAGAACGCACCCTCATCCTCGTCGAGTCACGTTCCGCATCTTGCCGCGTGTCCTTCGAGCCGTGGATCGAGCGGGTAGCGAGAGCGCGGCCGGTCTCGTCTCGGGTACGCGTTGGGAATAGAGCGCAGGATAGGGCAAAGTAGAGGGCACGAGGTGGTGCATAACACGAGGCGGCAGGCACGGCTGCAATTTCGGGGTTTAATAATGATCCCAGCCGACGCGGCTCAAGGCTGTATCCCGTGTCATTATACTGTGAAGTGGAGAGGCTGCTAATTAGTCATTAGCGTAGGAAAAAGACACCTTGAACAGGGTTGGTAGGTACAGGACGGGCAGCAACCCCATCCGACGGACGGTGGTGCATAGGTACGGCAAACTTGAGCAAACAGGGTGTAGCTTCTAGCCTACGTCTAATTGGACCCTAGCGACGTAAGTTCTACTAATTGAGACCAGGCCTGTAACTATCAGCCGCGCGACAAGGGCCTTCGTAAATTCGCCGAGGATCGACGGTAGTCGGTGAATATACGTGTGCCCGTGTGCCGGTCGCGCGCGCACACCCTCGCCGACACGGGAACTGCGCCCGATCCCGAGAAC